GGAACGGGGCTTGGTGCCCGATCACAACAGCTGGCCCCGGCGGGAATTGGTGACACCAGAAGCAGATGCTCAGGAAAGGGGCTTGGTGCCCCATCAGACTGGCTTGTCCCGGCGGGAATTGGCGGTGCCAGCGCTGGGCCTGGCTTGTCTGATGGTGCCATGACGTGCCAGCCAGGCCCGGCTGGAACCAGCATGCCTGGACACAACTCTTCGGTGGCTGCCGCAGCCGGGAACAATGCAGGATTTTGCAGGTCAGTCAGAGTGAAGTTTGGCGGGAGCTCCTCATTCGGGGTCGCCGACAGCAGCAACTGAGCCTGTAGGTTCCGGGCGCTGCCGGCAGCATCCGGTGCAATCTGTGCCGGATGATCTTTCTTGGTCCCAGTGGACTTTGGTGTAGCCAGCAGCACCACGGGGGCTGCGCTGTGGTCACCCGTTCTGGCAGGATTTGGCAATGCCGTGTGGTGCCTGGCAGCCAAATCTGGTGCCGTGCCTGGCAGTAACTGTGCTGGATGGTGCCTGTCAGCTCTGGCTGTAGCCAAACGTGCCAGGACTGGTGCCTCAGCACCTGGCGTCTCTGCCACATGGCTCCCATCAGCCACGGTTGAGTCCGGCTCTGCCACGGGTGCCAAGCACTGCACCCTGGCAGCCGGATCCAGCGACGGAGGAGCTAAGCAGGTGGGGGAGCCCAGCCCCGCAGGCAGCCGGCCAGGCCCTGGCGTGTCGTCCTGCAGCTCGAGGGTGGGGCTGAGGGAGCCATCGGGGGACCACTGCGGGGAGAAGTCGCCGGGACTGGCAATGTAACCCTCGGAGAGCAGCCAGGACCTGCGGCAAGAGGGAAGGAGTGAGAGCCGGGGTGGGGGTCAAGCAAGCCCTGAGTGCAGGGAGGAAGGGGGAACCAAGGGAGCCCAGAGCAAGCAAGCAGGAACAGGGAAAGGAGACGAGCTAGTGAGCCAGGAGCACTGGAGCAAGCAGGGGGCAGGGAAACCAGGGGAGCCCCGGGGCCGGCAGGGAGCACTAGGGAGTGGGGAGGAGAACCCCTCAAGTGAGCCCCAAGTGCACCGGGAGAGATGCTCACCTGAGTCTCTGGAAGCTGGATGACTCCCCTTCTGGTGCCCCGCTCTCCCGTCGCCCCTCGGGGGGGAAGTCAAAGGAGGCAGCGTCCCGCTCGTCCTCGCTGTCTCCCTCCTCTTCCTTGTCCTCCTCCTCGCAGTGCGCAGCCCACTGGCCCTGGGCCACCAGCCGCTCCACCAGCAGGGCCACCAGCCCGCCGGCCTGCAGAACCTCCAGCGCCTCCTGGTCGTAGAAGAAGGCCACGAAGGCCACGACCACGCGGGCGTGGCAGCCTCGCTGGCGCCCATCCTGCAGCAGCGCCAGCAGCAGCTCTAGCCCGCCGGCCTCCCGCACCCGGCTGCGGTTCATTGCCTCCCGGCACAGCAGGCACAGCGCCCTGACCAGGGGCTGCAGGATGGCGCCGGCGGCTCCCGCCCCACGCCGGCGCTGGATCTCCCCAACCAGCACCGCCACGCCCCCGGCATTGCCCACCGCTGGCCGCAGCATCCCCTGCAGGCAGAGATTGGACAGCGCCGAGACAGCCGCCTCCTGCACCGCCCGCTTGCTGTGCCCAGCTAATGCCACCAGGGGCACCACCCCACCCCCCAGGCTCAGCTGCTCGGCGCAATCCCGGCTGCAGCCCTTGGTGAGCTCTAGCAGGGCCCGGGCAGCCGCAGCAGCCAGGGCGGGGTCGTCGGGGCTGGCAGCCAGGCGCTCGGAGATGACCCGCACTGCGCCCTGCTGGGCCAGCGCCAGACGGTGCGCTGGGGTGGCGCCCAGGTTGCGCAGGGCCCGAATGATGCTCTGTAGGCACTCGCTGTCCTGGGAGCTGGCAAGGACTTGTACCAGGGGTGCCACCGCGCCTGGGAGGGAGCGGAGAGAGAAAGGGGGTTAGTGAGCCCCAAACCCAGAGAATTAACCCCAATCACCCCCTCCCAGGTCAGCAGGGGACTCCCCAGTATGGAGGTGAACCCCAACATGGCTCCTCTCTGGTATGGTGTGAACCCCACAAGGGATCAGAGAGGGTGTTCCCCAATATAGGAGTGAACCCCATTATCCCCCAGGTCAGCAGGGCACTCCCCGGTATGGGGGTGAGCCCCAATATTACCCCCATGCAAGGAAGCAGAGGGGAGCTCCCTGTATGGAATGATTCCCATTACCCCAGCCCAGGTCACAGGGGATGCCCAGTATGGGGTGAGCCTCAGTACTACCCTTCAGCTAGCAGGATCAGAGGGGCTCCCCACTATGGGGCAAGAATCCCAGTTCCTAGTCTTCCCCCACCCTCCTTTCGCAGGTTGGCGGGGGGGGTATGACCCCACTCACCGGCATCATGGATAGCCTGCAGGTTCTCTACATCAATGGCCAGGTTGCCCAGGGCCCGTGCTGTTCGGTTGTGGATACTTTCGACTCCAAGCGATTTCAGGATCATAACTGGGGAGAGAAATCATCTGTGAACCATGGTGAGTGCATCATCCCTCGCACAGAACTGAGATGTAGCCACCTCTGGGGTGCATCACAGGGGCTGTTTATCCAGGGATCTCTCGTCCAGTGATGAGATGCAGCCACCTCTGGGGTGGAACACGGGGGCTGTTTATACAGTGATCCCT